TGGTTCGTGCCAGCAGTCAGCAGAAACCGTGTTCTCGGATGACTGTTTATGACATGTGGGCGGAGTTAAACGACGACGTAAGAAAAGGGAAGCGTGCGTTGTGTAATATGTTCCGTCGGCTGGCCCACGGTATTTTACTGTATGGGCCAAACTCAAAAGGTGTTACTGTTACAATTTCAAAAGTGGGCCGAACTCTGTAGTTGAGAAACGAATTAGCCCATTAGCCCATATGAATTTCTTGTCCATTCTTTTTATTTTTCACATCTTATAACTAGTCAAAGGGGAAGGGAGAGGATGAACTCTGAAACCCTAAATGGTGTCTCACTAAAAGTAAAGGGGTTGGTCGAACTTATATTTCATTCATTTGGATATGTGTTTTCATACCTTAAACCTACCAAATATAATACAAAATTCATCCTTTACGCCCTTTTGTGCTTTGAAACGATGGTATTTTTGGTTCGATTTTGTTAAAATCTAGGCCAATAGATTTAAGAAGTGTCTACATCTCTTTATCAACAGGAATCAGTGTGCTTTTGTGGAGGGTAGGCTTATGGTAGAAAATGTTCTCCTTGCCCATGAAATTGTGAAATACTACCATAAGCAACGCTTAAGCCCTAGATGTGCTTTGAAAATTGATTTAATGAAAGCTTTTGATTCAGTATCTTAGGACTTTATATTCCAAATTCTACTCTCTTGGCATTCCCAGTCAATTTGTCAATCCCAGTCAATTTGTCAATCTGGTTAAAGCTTGTGTGACTACTCCTAAATTTTCTATGGTTTTCAATGGAAGTTTATGTGGTTACTTCTCAGGAGAGAAAGGAGTTAGGCAAGGGCATCCCTTATCCCCAAACATTTTTGTGCTATGTATGGAGGTCCTTTCTCGTATGTTGAACAAAGCTGCTGAGGAAGGAAAATTTGCTTATCACCCTAAATGCAAAAATGTGCAGCTCACACACTTATGTTTTGCTTATGATCTCATGATATTCATAGATGGTAACCTAGCCTTTCTAAATGCAATTGATGCTGTCTTGATGCATTTCTATAAGGTTTCTGGCCTAAGAGCTAAGTCAAAATTGTTCTGTTGTGGGTTATCTACATCACATACCCAGTTGCTTGTTGAAAAATTTCATTTCAAGATTGGTACACTGCCAGTCAGATATTTAGGAGTACCATTGATCACGGGGAAGCTTGCAAAAAAGGATCTCAAGCCTTTAGTCTCTAAAATCACTGAGAGAATGTCCTCCTGGGCGACTAAACATCTCTTTTTTGCTGGTAGATTACAACTAATCTCCTCAGTAATTCAAGGCATCACCAATTTTTGGTGTTCTGTTTTCATATTGCCTAAAGGGGTTATTAAAGAAATGGAAAAGATATGTGGAGCTTTTCTTTGGAATAATGAAACTTACAGTGTTAAAGGGGCAAAGGTGAGTTGGTTGCATGTCTGTACTCCAAAACATGAGGGGGTCTAGGACTTTGAAACTTAGCTCAGTGGAATTAACCTTGCATTCTAAAGTTTATATGGCTGTTATTCTCAAAGGCAAGTTCTATTTGGGTTGCTTGGGTCCAGGACAACTTACTCAAGGTAGAAGCTTTTGGTCCATTAACATTCCTTCTGATGCTTCTTGGGGATGGAGGAAAACTTTAAAACTAAGGCCATTAGCTAGAGGGCTAATCCAACACATACCGAGGAATGGTCAAAACACTTCTCTTTGGCATGATAATTGGCACCTCGCTGGCCCATTGTTAGAAGTTTATGGAAACTCTATTGTTCATGATGCAAGGATACCCTCCCAAGCTAAACTAGCTAGTGTTATAAGTGGTAAATTTTGGAATTGGCCTCCTGCTAGATCTCCCCAATTGGTGGAAATCCAAATACTTCTTTTTTCTATTGTTCATGAATAATAGAGTTTATGGAAACTCTATTGTTCATGATTCAGTTATTTGGTTGACCTCCCCTTTTAGATCTTTCAAAACTGGTCAGACTTGGCACTAGTTGAGAAATAAGCAACCCAAGAAGGTATGGCATAAACTTGTTTGGTTTCCTCATGCTATCCCTAAGCATAGCTTCATAGGTTGGCTAGCCATTTTTAATAGATTGACTACAAAAGCTAGACATAAGCAATGGACCCCTACCATCTCGGATACTTGTATCCTATGCAATAATAACTCAGAAACTTTCGAGCACTTGTTCTTTAAGTGCAGTATGCTAACACAATATGGAGGCAGATTAGTACTATGATCCATATTCCCTTTGTGGACTCTTGGCACGACTTATTACATTGGACAGGGAAAAGGGTTAGAAGAAAATCTTTGCTTAGCATTTTGAACAAACTCTCATGGAATGCCACAGTCTACAACATTTGGATGGAAAGAAACAACAGAGTTCATCTACAGCTCTTTAGAAGCAAGAGTACAATCCTTCATGAGATTCAATTTGAGGTTAGAGCTAGAAAGCTGGAGTTTGCTCACCCAAGGTCTTCATCACTTCCTATGGCTATTGCAATTCAATGGGGGCTTGAAACAATTGTGATAGATTAGTTTTTGGGTAATAGTAGAATGTGTACTAGTTATTGAGTATTTTTCCTAGTCTTTTCTCTTGTAGCAGCTCCTGTGCTGCATTATGTTGTAAGTATTTCTGGATAAATAAATTCACCTTTTATTCAAAAAAAAAATAAAATATTTTAATTTAATTAATTAAAAATTTTATTTTTTTTCATTTTTTTTTTGTTTCTTTCAAACAAGATACATTATAAATTTTTTTTCTTTTTTTAGGAGGGGTGATCAATTCCTCACAAATTAGAAGGAAGCAAAGGCAAAATATCCATTTCGAGTTGCCATGGAACGATGCTATAATTTTAATTTTCTTTTTCAATTAAGTAAAACTACTTTTGATAGGTCGCACTCACTATCTTTGAAAAGTAAAGTTTTAATATTGTTTATGGATAAGATGATACTTATGAATTTTTATTTTTCTTATTTTGGTTGTATAATGAGAAACAACCATTTTCATCTTTTATTTCACAACACTCGCATGTTATACGAGATACTCATGAAATTAGTTTGCTAATAAGTCTAAATATTCATTATATACAAAAATGAAAAATTAAACATAAATCAATGAAAACCTTATTTTACCATTTAAATTATACCAAAATGTAAAATAAAAATTATTAAATTAGAGAGAATCTTTAATATAAAAAATATAATAATTATTTTATATAATTTAAATTATACAATTCTTTTACCTTAATTATTATTTTTTTAATAAAACCTTAGTCAATTATTGAAATTTGAAATATACTCCGACCAAATAAAAGACCAATTAATCAATTGTGTCATCGTGTGTCATGCGGAGAGAAGATGAGAATGTCGGTGTAACATACTTTTTTTTTTTTGCTGTTATGCCCTATAGTTTTCTTCTTTGGTATAAAAAGGCTGTCAATTCGTCTTTTTTTAGTTGTTCTCATTTCCTGTAACAATTCCAACTAAATTTTTGTCTCCCTTCTAATTTTCTCTTTTCGATTCCGATTTCTGCTTCCTCTACCAACCAGACAACCAACATTGCGAATTCACTCCTAATTTCACGTTACTGTTTCTCAGAAAATCAGATCGGAAAATCAGCATGTCGGTATCCATCACCGCCGCCTTTCAGGCGGTAAATTATTGGCTATCGGAGCACCCATCTATTGTCAACTTCCGTTGGAGTCACACCCAATCATGGGGATCTACTTGGTCCTTCCTCTTCACCGCCATCACCGTCTATATCGTCGCTGCCATCACCATCCACCTTACCCTCTCAATCCTCCTATCCAAGCGCCGCCGGATCCCTTTAGGTCCAAGCCCGGCCCTCCACAGCCTCTGCATCTCCTTGATTTCCGCTGTTATATTCATTGGCATCCTCCTCTCCGCCGCGGCCGAGATTCGCGACACTCGTTGGTTCTGGCGTCGTACCAAGACCGTCACCAGCCCCTTGCAATGGCTCCTCTGTTTTCCCCTCGGAACGCGCCCCTCCGGGCGCGTGTTCTTCTGGTCATACGTGTTTTATCTCTCTCGATTCCTCCACCTCTTCCGCACATTCTTCACCGTCCTCCGCCACCGGAAATTGAGCTTCTTCCAGCTCTTTAACCAGTCAATTCTCTTATTCATGTCATTTCTCTGGCTCGAATTCTCTCAATCCTTTCAAGTTTTGGCCATCTTGCTGGCGACGTTGCTGTACTCGGTGGTGTACGGCTACCGGTTCTGGACGGCAATCGGGCTACCGAGCGCGTGCTTTCCATTCGTCGTGAACTGCCAGGTGCTGCTTCTGGGTTGCAATTTGGTCTGCCATTTTGGGGTTCTTCCGCTGCATTTCTTGAAAGGCGGATGCAACGGTATCGGGGCTTGGGCCTTCAACTCCATACTCAACGGCGTCATTCTTTTTCTGGTGTTGAACTTCTACTTGAAGAAAATGTACTCGAGCAGGAGGAGATCAAGCGAGACAAGATGACGAATCGGAGTTCAAAAGTGAAATGGTAAACGTCAAGCAAAAGGACAGTTGATAACTTGATTGCCTCATGATTTTTTACACTTCCAATTTTTGCCGAGTTTTTTTCTTTTATCTGTAATATTATGTGTGAATGTTAAATATATATTCATTATGTATTTACTCATCACACTTTTTAGTTGAAAGTTGATAATTTAAAGAAAAAGTAAAATTCTATAATTAAAATAATTATTATAAATTAAAATCCTATATTTACTCTTTAATAATAGAATTAAATTAAATAATTTTTTAAGCGTAATAAGTAAAATAAAATAAAAAGTAAATTTTTATTTTAAAATAATTATTTTTTAATTTTTTAAAGATAAAAATTTGATAAATTTATATTTTAATTATATTATTATTAAAAAATAAATAAAGATAAAAAAATTTTCGTAAAAGATTGGATAATTAAAGTTAGATTATAGTAATAGTAATAAAGTAAAAAAAAAATTCTCTTTTAAAAAATAAACATTAAATAAAAAAATAATTATTCTGTAATACAAGGTGAATAATATAGATACATATTATTGGTAATTGTTTTCTTCTCTTCCAAGAAAAGGAGGGCATTAAATTCAGTAGATTTAATCCATTGAATATCTTCTCCATGACGAATATTCAATGTACCATTTGACTATTTGGTGATTTTCTCTCTAGAAGCCTCCAATATGAGTAATATGGCAATCAAGTTCTCTAGAAGCTGATGGCCAAAGGGAAAATAAGAAAAAAGAAGTAATTTATTTTTAGAAGCAACTTCTAAACAAAAAAGAAAAAGGGGTTTGGGTTTCTAGGATTAATTTTTTTTGTATTACATTCATTTATAATCCAATACAAATGGAAGGGTCGATTCTGATCCAATGAGATTAGATTTTGAATTAGTATCATTTACTCTCTGTGAATTATGTGTCTGAATCGGGATTGAAAGCCCATTCATTTGGACTCCGCCAGCAATGGCCCAAAATGCCAAATGGTAAGCTCTTGGAGACAATTATTTCCTTCTCAGCTCACCGTGCTCACCCCTAGGTATGCATTTCCTCTGTTACATTTATACTTCTGGAGAATTCGTCTTCTTCATATGGATACTTTTCTCTCGTTCCCATCCAATTCGTTTCTCCCGCAGATTCGAGGTACCGGAACCTGCACTGTTTTCCTTCTTCATTTTCAGTAATTCTATTTCGTTTTTCCGGTAATCTGATTGTTGTTTGTTTGCCAGTTTCTCTTTATAGTCTTTGGTAGATTTCGTCAGTTTTAAGATATGATCTCTTCAAGTTTACGCTTCCGTAGAAATTAGTTGAAATTTAGCTTAGTCACGAACACAGTGTTCTGCTGATAAGGTCATCTGGTGTTACGTAATTCACATGACATGACAGTTTCAATCTTTCAGATCTAAATTATTGACATGAAATGTGATTGAATTTTACATAGAGTTTCATATGTGATCTGTTGAAAAGATCATAGGAAAGAAGAAGATTAGTTACTAAATGAGAATAAGATTACTAAACGAGACTAATGGAAATTACTGTTGCCAATCTCATACTGCAATGTGGAAGCAATTGTCAGTTCCCATTCTATAAAAGCTCTGAGGTGATAACTACTATTAGTTTATTTGTAATCTGTACCTAGAGTCGAAGGCTGTAACATGAAATTGGAAAAAAAAAAAAAATTGCACGTGGAGCAAATTGTTCAAGTTCTTTGACTAACACATGATGTATCTATTTGCTGCCAAAAGCTAGAAAATCAGTTTAGCCTTTCTGGTTACCATTATGCATGTGTTAGTAAATCTACCTGCTGCAGATGATCACTTATCCCAATGTAACAAACTTACCGAATTCTAGCTTTAGAAGCAATTGCCTGAATCATGCTCTTGCTCAGTTCAATGTGTAATGATATCTATTCATGTGACCAATAATCTTTTTCTTATTTTTTTGTTTGTTTGCCTTTTTTTCTTTTTTCTTTTTCTTTTTTTTTTTCTTTCAGAATAAGTACTAAAATATTTATACACCTTGGTTTACACACTTGACTGCAGTTTATATGTGAGCATTGCTTACAAGCATAAATGCCTCTTCTTTTTGTACACTGTTTTTGGTGTGGATCTATCAGAGGTTCACATTCATGTAAGGCATATCCCTATCAAGGAGATCCCAACATCTGAGGATGAGAATACTTCTTTGTTAATCTATGCGTTCAAGCTCAAGAAAAAGTTACCTTCAGATTTCAAATTGCAGGACCATATTCCTAAGCAAGAACTGAAGGAGAGCTTTATACTTTGAAGTGCTTCTTGAATTTTACAATGGCAATTTTCCTGGCAGCCATATTTTTGTATCTGACCCATTCATTCAACTTGTTTAGGACTCATGTTGTTTTAGCTTGTCTATGTCTTGCTTATGTTACTTATTACAACATACCTCCAGTGTCACTTCAAGGTGTTGATGAAGCGCTGTCCCAGCACAAGGAAATGAAAAGAAAATAATTTCTCATTTCAAGTTATTGAAACTGTAGGTAACAATAAAAGTTTGACTCCGAACTGGGATGAGGGGTATATCTATGACATGATTTTGAGAAGATCTTCTGCATGGTTAAAACGTAAGACAGAAGGATCCTTGTTGTGCTTTGAAGTATGCTCTATGATGGCACTTTGTTGATTTATCTTTGAAGTTTACAATTATGTAAAATTTTACTCCTAACTAGATCGGAGATTTTTTGAAAGTTCTCTCTGCACTGATTTTCTTTTCATTTTCCCTTTATTTGGTGCTCTTACTATATTTTTGAGTTCCTACAGGATGAATGGCACCTTGACCTGAGTCATTAGTATTCTCAAGCACTCATACCTTCTTTCGTGAAAGTCATTTGGAGCCAAGAACTCATTTTACAATCCAGAGAAGTTGTAAGGATCTAGAAATCAAGTGCCAAGCTCACAGGTACAACATGCAACTTTTCTCACTACTGTCATGTAAGGATTTAGGAATCAAGTATCTATGTGGCTTTAGTTATTGGTAGATTTACTAGATATTTACTGCTCAATAACTAGTCTGCTTTCATCAACAGGTTCAGTGACTCAATGTGTGCATACTCACAACAGTTTCAGTTCATACAGATGCATGCTTGCCATAAGATTGGGTAAACTGAGAGAACAAATCACATTAACATGTTGTCATCAGGTGAAACTAAACAGTTGTTCTTGCTCCATATTTACTTGAAATGCGTATGCAACCAGACATTGCTGTTCTAGCTTTCTTTTTTTTGGGTTTGGAGCTTTCTTTTTAAATGAATGATGCAATGATATATTCCGAAGAAAATGGACTATTTCCAAAAAAAAGTAGAGAAATGGAGTTTCATATGTTTCATTATATGTGATACTGCAAAAAGGGCACGAGCAACATATTTTGGCAATTTGGATAAAAAGCCAGGCGATATTGTCAAGAAATACTGCAACCTGATAGAGAAAATGATAAGATGATGATCGTCATGGATGTCACCTCAAAGACAACTAGTGGTCTGTAACATCAGTTGCAGTGATCAGGTTTGGATAGAAAGAAACATCTGGCTAGAATGGTAGATTCTTGCCGTCCTTGATTTACATGTGTTAGGTTTCATTGCTTGCGTAGATAATAACTTTTGCACTTGGATAATGTCTTTCATTCTGCTTATTGCATACGCTGGGGATCATAGGAACATAATGACTTGTAAGTTTTAATAACAAAGGAAACTGGGGGTTAGGTTGGGACACTGCAGTTGCTATACAAAAGGTGACTGTCTTTGCTGCCCCTAACAAAACAGAAGGCATTAAGGCAGTTTAACAGAAAACGCGATTGGCATGATATGAAAGTGTGTACATTTGCTGATTCTGGTGGACAGAAATGGACATAAAAATGTCAAGAGAGTTCCTTTGTAAAATGGATAACAGATTTGCTCAACCAAAAGTGCTAATAATTAACTCTATTTCATAAGCCGACAGAGCCTGTTCATCAGTTTCTTCCCAGGAAGAAACTGTCAGTAGCAGGAGACGAACATATCATGCCCGAAATCGTGGCTTTCTTGATAATCATCAATTCATTATCATCAATAGTTTAAGTTTTTAATTGCGTAATTTTCTCACTTGCAGATTATTGAGTGGATATGAGGAAGGTCCCATCCCACCCTTAGGGTCTCGTGATACTTATCATATAGACTTTAAGACGTAATGCGTAGATCAATAATTGCTTAAATTACCCGCAAGAATTAAACGTTATATCATTAAGCGGAAGCGGACCCTCTACCTCATTCAAGTCTAAAAAGCAAATTTAGTATTATAATTTAAGATGTTTAGGTGGTGGATAGAATCATTGAACTACCATATAATTTGGCTCTCAAAATCAATTCTATTAACATGGCAAAGATACCCACGTCCACAAGCACGCGGAAAACCACATTTTTCATATAAAAGATGAAATTGTGATTCATACAATTATTGGAGGAATGGGTTTTGAGTTGATGACTAATCCGTCAAATGATAGTAATTGAAAATAAAATAAGAGGATCTATTGATAAAGTGAGTGTTTGTTTAATTTATATATTTAAAATCGTCATAATTATATATTTTTTTTATTAATTTGTATAGTAAAATGTAAAAATTAATTTTATTTTTAATATTAATGATATATGCATGATTTTAATTATGCTATTGATAAAATTGAAACTAATTTTTTATATAA